GCATCTTTCAGTAAGGCTAATGTAGCTAGAGATATGACTGAGATAATTTTTGTAGCCTTCAATTTTATTAGTTACAAAGCTATCAATTAGAAAATCACACCCACCTGTGACGTCTTCTCTTTCACAATTCGTTGATAGTTCTTTCTTACGTTTCATTATATATTACCTATAACCAATAGAAAGTCAAGGTTTTCATCTATCAAATGACGTATTATATAACCTTATGTTCTGAACAGTTAGATATCTAAACAGGTAAGGGATTTTGTTTATTTTTTGCATGTTATTAGTCTATATTCTTTGGTGCATTATTTAATTAAATAAAAATTATTAAGTGGATTACTATTTATAGTACAGAAAATTAGGGTTAACTTTCTACAATAATCAGCGGGAAGAAAAAAGAAGATTGGTTAAGTATTTATTTCTTATTTTTCATGTTTATTCTTTATGTATAATTATAAAAGTAACTAAAATGTAAAAATAGGGATCCTTTTAGGTTTGTTAAGAATAGATTAGGTAAAATAAATAAAAATGTTTCACGAGGCACATGCAAGCAGCTCGTGGGTAACGTAATTCGTTAGCATTACATGAGCTGCACATTTTCTGAGTGATTTAGAACTTTTTATGGCACTGATAATAGTTAGACATAGTTCAAAGGGCAATAAAACAATGAAATTTAATTATAAATAGATGTATAATGTTACAAACTTAGAGCTAATTTGGATAAACAAATGTTGTTTCATGTTACAATTCAAGAAAGAAAAAAGGGTAATTTAGGTTTATTTCGATTTTTTTCTTTTGGTGGTTATGAAAATGGTCGATTGACCAATCCCGTTTTGAGATAGGGTAGAGAAAATAACAGATAAACTATAAGTAGGTTTTTAGGGATTACATAATTTTAACATGAAAACTACTTTGCACATTGACTATTCAAAACAAATACTCAATATATTCATGGACAAATCTTTATTTTATTAAAAATACTTCACTAAAAAATATGATTTTTTGTATGTATAATATTAACTGAAAGACTGCCAACTTTGTCAAGATATACACACTATATTGAAAGTTAGAAGTATTACATATATAGACTTTAAACGAGTAAAAGAGGTCACATAGTTAAATAACAGACTGTTGATGTGGAGAAAATTGTAGGTATGTATTTTGTTCTTATATATTATGAGTCTTAAAGAGTATGATAATCTTCATACCATGTTTCTGATTACTAAGTGTTTCAAAACACTAATTTGAAGTGCAAAAATGGTCTAAATATAGAAAGTTAACATATTAAATTTCCTATTGTACAAACACGACACGAGACTATAGTGCAAAGCATTATATTTGATATGGATGCAAAATGATTATTAATGAAGAAAAACCAACCTTTTGACATCCAGACTGGATCGTCTGATTGTACTGAAGCTATATGGATGTTTTCCTTCTGCTTCATTATTAGAGATATCATAGTCAAAGTCTTTCCTAAGCCCATGTCATCAGCTGTGAACAATATCTACAATGTAAAACTTTCTTGAATTTTTTCATTATAGTTATAAATGAAACTTGCTTACACAAAAACAGAAGAAAGTAGGCATAAAATAATACTAAATGTAGATGTTCATATGCAGTTTTACTTATAACAGCACTAAACTGCAGCACATAAGTCCATAGTTCAGAATAACATGAAACCAAGTAGCAGTGTACATATACTGTTTCTCTAAATAAATATTTATCTTGGTGAAGATTCCACAGATGGTGATGTTTCTCATTAATGATGATACTAGGTGGTAATATATATTTATATGGTTTAATTAAAAATGACAAAAGTTTGTTTAGTCTCACCTAAAATGCCTCCTGGTGGATGTTGTCTTTCTCGCCAAGACAGCCAAGCTAAAGCTCTTCTCTGATGGGGCATCAGTGAAGTCCTAAGACTTTCTGGACCTACTAATTCTTGATTTTCTGAAGGGCATGTTTCAAGTGACCTAATTAGAGTTTATTGTATAATTGTATATCAAAGGAGCATATGTGTAAAACACATATCATTGAGCTAAAAATAAATACATTATTTTAAAGCACTTAAAATAAATATATCAGTAATTATAACTAGGTTATGGCTAATAAGCCACTAAAAGCATAAATATATAAAAAACAAAAACAAATAAATAATATTTAAAAACATTTTGAAGACCAGATTATCAACAAAAAAGTAGTTTCATTTTTAAGATGACCTTTGGATAGACAATGAAAGAATGTTAACACTTTCCTTAGACAACAATTTATTTCCAATAGATACTCACCTCTACACAAAGAATAGTTTGATTACTTCCTGCACCTGCCTGAGATTTGCATGCCACTAGCCTTGAGTTAACTCCCATCTAAAAAACACTTGTTAATGTGAACTGAGCCAGTGCATGATGATGACAACGATAGCCCTCCACTAACAGGAGGGAGACACAACCTCTTTACACAGTAACTTTCCCTTAGCACTTGCACTCGAAGTAACTCCATTCTTAGATAAGGAAAGAAGAAAATGCATCTGAAGTGGAGAGGACAGGTGGGAAAGAGTGTGGAAGAGAGGATCTATCAGAAATATATTTTCAGCCAAGGAAAATGTTAACTTCTGAGACAATATCTTATTACTACACACAGAATATCTAGAAGGGCCAGTTCAAACATTAAATCTAGATGAGCTCCTAACAGAAAGTGCTTGAAGGGAATGCCTATGGAGTGTGACACCTAATGGCAGAAGCTCCATAGGGGCACACCCATAGGAGAATACATCTTGTTTTGACCAGGGTATACTCTTCGTTTGGAAGGAAGCAGAAGGAAATGCAAAAAAACCTCAAGTTTCACAGGGATGTCCAGAATTTTTGCATAACCAACTGAGCACTCGCACACAAGTGGTTGGTGAGTCAAGAAGTGTAGTGTGGTTTGAGCATGATTAGAATGTAGAGTGTGGTTTGAGCATGATTAGACTGTAGAGTGTGTGTCTGAACTAAAATCAACTGGACAGAGATGGGGGTTTGACAAACCCATCCTGCTGCAGAAAGGAATGTTAGCTGTTTGCATTAGGGAGATCTGGAGAAGTGCTTAGATCACCATCAGACAACTACCAGAAAGGACATTTACTGGAGGCAGCGCAATGGGTGATCAGTCACTTCCCTTTTTCCATGACAATCCATGAAAGATACGGTCTGGATAGGACAACTGAGTAGTTTTAGTACCATAAGGATAATTCTATTGGTGTTGTGGAACACCCCATTTTAACAGTGGGCACCTGTAAAGCCAAAGGTGATAAGTTCAGCACTTTCTACTATCCCTGACCTGATGCAGAATTTGGGAAATAAGCATACCTCTGCAGAAACCATCAGCCACCTGGTGTGTTCCTATAAGAGGGAAGAGAGTGAGGAGAGGGTAATGAAAAAGAAAATGTACTTAGCCTTCTCAAAGACAGCGTATAGTTTTATTGAAGTGCAGCAATTGGAGGGAGTCAAAATCCCATAGGAGACAAAATAAACAGATGACAAAGATAATGCGAGATGAATGTGTGCAGATTCACCCACATGCCAGCCTGAGGGATCTTATCTAGGGGTCAGTGAAAATGAGACATAAGAGAATAAAACAGTTGGAAAATCAGATGTGGCGAACTGTGAATGAACAATCACCTTTCCAAGCAATTAAAGTCTTAGGAAGAAAGACCAAGTCTGGATAGAGGAGTAAGATGGATGAAAGAGAGTACAAGAAGTATCAATGATATATACATCTAAATGACAGCAACTACAAGCGAGAAGGAGAAAAAACATGTCTTCAGAAAAAGATGGTATAACAGGCATAAGACAATGGCTTGAATAGAGCACGTGTAAAAGCATGTAAAACTGTATCAGAGTCCAGTCAGGCATGTGAGTAGGACAAAGGGGAGGATGAAGAAAGGAGGAATTGGAACAATGTGAAAATGACAGGGAAAGAAAAATCCTGATGGCAATTGGAAAGGCAAAATGTTGATAATAAAGCCACCAGATAACTAGCCATAGTGGAAACTGACAACCAATGGTCGAACAACCACGTGAAAGGGAGTGGCCAATGGACCAACATCGAAAAACCAGTCACTTCCAATGATAGATGAACAGGATGAAGGATGAAAAGAACTGGATTATAAAAAGGCTATACAATCAGAGAGTCTAGTCATGTGGGTAATGGAGTGGACAATTCCTACATATGAAGATGAAGGGAAAACACCTCTGGATGGAAAAGAGACTTGTGTGGTTGGAACAAGAGAGAGTGAGAATGGAGCAGAAGAAGAAGAAGGAGCCTGGATGCTAATTAATGATGCAGAGGAAACCAGGGTTGTGCCGGCCAAAAAGAAGCCACCAATAGAACCAGAAAAGGAGTGTCACATATCAAAGCGAGAATACTAGGGAGAATATGAAGAGGAGGATAGGTACAGAAAAAATGGTGAGGCCGGTCCAAGCTGAAGGATGAGTAATTGAGAATTGGAAGAAGGGAAGTTTGATGTTGAGAAGAATGGTAAATGCATCAATGGGAGGCATGACCAACTGAAAGCAAATCAAATGAAAAATCTGAGGGTAGAAAAACCACTCCATGTTTGGCCAAGAGAAGAGATCTGCTACCAAGTTCAGAGCCGTGAGACTAGCTTAACCCGATATTCGCCGGGGCCATTTTGTTTTATTGTGAGGGCAAAATCACTTGTGAATTGAAAAAATGATAGAAAACTTATCTTTTAATGGATTTCTGATTTTATTTTTGTAAATAGTGGAATAACATTCAATTATTTGTATCAAATTGTATTATCTAATGAAGTTTAAAGAGGAATTTAATGAAAAAATTCCTAAAATACGTTTTAGACTGTAAATAAGCGCCCTCTAAGAAG